TTTTTTAACTTAAAACAATCTTGTGGCTCAAACAAATTAGATGTTGCCCTCAACTGGAAACTGGATTCATTCTGATACTCATCACATGCCTTGGGGAATGTTATTTTGTTCTTGTTTTTTTTTTTTTTTTTTTTTTTTAATATTTATTGAATTATTTATTGGGTTTTTTTTTAAAAAAGATTATGACAAATGCCAGAAATTTAGTGTATGAGAGACTGGAGTAGGCCAGTATTGGAAATCGGTGTCATGAAATTAAAATCTTTGTCTTTGCAGGAAAAATTCATTATTCAATGTGTCAGATTTGCTGTGTTTTGGTAAATTGAAAATGAAATTGAAGCAACCTTTAATCATATTCTCAATTATAAAAGAAATAAACAGAAGGGTCTCACTTAGTCTAAGCAAATTAATTATTTTTAAGATAATCTTTTGTAATATATGAAATGCTCCACAAAATATATTTAAATCCATAAGTTATGGGAATGTGACTGAGTTTTAAAAATCAAATGCAAGATGAGTCAAACCAAAGTTCAATAAATTTCCTAACTTCTCTTAACACTTCTCATAAAAATGGCCAAAATTGAGGTCGTAATCTTGATTAAACAAGTTAAATGTATATGTACAGATGAGTAGATGACTTTTTTCCACCCAAGGTTTGCCTTAAAGACACTTTCCATCCCAAAAGTTCAAAATACCATTTTTTTCACCTAAAGTAATTTTCTGTCTACCTAAAGCCGATTCTGACGGCGAAAATTTTCTCCTTCACCACCATTTGAACTCGGTTCTCTCTCTACAAAATTCTCTTACTATGACATCTGATTTTTGTCAATTACCCGTTGATTTCTGATTGACTCCTATGGCGAGCATCCAATCAATCACCATCATTTGATCTACTAGCTCCATTATATAAACCCCTGTTACCTGATTCTTGTAACTTATAATGCTGGCTAAGAAAGTGAAGTGTATTTTAGGTATTAACATAATATAAACTTTAAAAAAATAGTATTTTAAAACTTTTTGAGTGAAAAAATGTCATTAAGGTAAACCTCGCGTGGGAAAAAGTCGGAAAGAGTGGGTGTGAGATGAGTTGCCAATGGCAAAGTGTAAACAAAACTGAACTAATCTGAAATTTGTTTTAAGCCGAATTTCCTTATCCATTTCTTCACTATCTAATCTTTTTTAAGCCCCCACCACATTATATTAAGTTAAGATATCGGCTTACAGATATATTTTTTTTAATTATATTGTATAAATAGAATACGGTTCAAATGGAGGACGTAACTAATCCAGGAACCTCCGAAAAGAAGCATTATACAGTAAGTTTGAAAGGGATCGGCAAAGTTATCATTGTTGAAGTCTTTTGAACAGAATATATATTTAGCACTTTTCCACCACACTTACATTGCCAATATTAATATACACAGATCCTTTCAAGCATTACCAAATATCAACTTCCATTTAATGCTTCAATAATCATATAGTAATCTCCTACAAGGGATGTTTGTGTATTACTGATTCTTACTCGAGATCTATTTATCAACAATAACAACATCAAATCTAGTTAGAGATTGTTAGATAACTGAAAAACAATGATATATATGTTATATAACCTGCGTGTATTTCGACCAATTCTCTGAGGTCTTAAGTTATAACCTTGTAAATCCTCCAGTGACTATCCATTTGTTATTGAGAGAATTTGTATCGACTATTTTAAGTAATATATCCAAGAATCTTTATCGTCTATCCAATTACCTAGGGTGGTTTATATTTACAACTATTATCCGACATGATTCTAAGTAACTATAAAGAAATCATAAAATATATGATGAGGTTATCGCGGGGAGCATCAGATGATATTTTTTTTTATATTGTAAAATAAAAATACCTAACACCCTTAATTTATTAATCCATCTAAAATAATATTTCTCCAAAACAGTGTGATACTATTCATGATAAAATATGAATGATTGCAAAAAGAGAGTGGTGGACTTTAATGAAAAAGTCTCAGCAAATTGGTCTAACAATGGCTACAAGCTAGCCAGGTGGGTGCTTTGCTTGGGAACTGAGGAAGAACCAAAATAGAAATAAATTATTTTTTATGTTTTATTTTATAACAATATTATCCCACCAACTTTCATAAAATATAATGACGTTGTCTTCTTAAATATAAATTTCCCGAAACACAGAAAAGACTCCACGAATTGGATGGCAGATGGATGAAGATTCTATTCCCAACCCGGTTTAGTTTAGTTTTCTTTACGGTCAAGGATTCCTTTACTTGGCCACAGATATATTTCAGAAAGTTTAAGAAAATTTCAGGTTTTGATTGCGTGTCCCAACACATGTATGTATATAAATATGCATGGAAGAAAGGTTTTGGACTGAAGGGGTTAGTCCAATAAGTAATCTATGGTTGAGATGGATTGCAGGGTGGTGCACATGATGTCCATAATTGAACTTTTTGTCTGATGGAAGCAAATTTGTATCTGGGTGCAATCCCTGAAAATATGCAAATTAATAACAAGTCTTAGGTGGTGGAACATTTACATGTTGAATTTAGATACTTTTTGTTTTTGGCCCTTGATGTGTATGCAAATTAATAAGAGAGAGTTAGGTGGAATATGGACATATGGGTTTTTCAATTGAGAAAAAAGTAGAAAAGAAAATGAGATAAAACTCTTGCACCAATAAAACATAAAATTGTTTACGAATTTGTATTAATGGGTCTTGTTTTTATTCATATATGCATCCACCCAGGAGGGGGAAAAGTTTACAGTTCATCACACAAACACCACATTAAAATACGGTCAAAGCCTATTTGATTGGTCGAATGAATTTATTGTCATTAGCCTGTTTAAACTTTTAAATAATATATTCTACGGCTTATGAGAGAAGCAGAAAAATAACTTTATTTTATGAATTTGATTTAATTTATTCTTGTTTATTAAAACTTTTTCTAGTAAATTAATACTAGAGGGATTTTTCTTAAAAGATATATTTTTAAGAGATCTAATATAATAAATCCTTCATCTAAAGTTGTAGTAAATTATACAAGAAAAGATACTATTAAAATGAAAGTGATTAATTATTAGGGCCAGGGGTCGCCGGTGTTGATTAAGAGTTAGTTTTAGATATGGAAATAGATAAGACTGAATGAAAAGTTGTTTGTATTAGAGGAATGATGTAAAGCTCTATAATTGTAACTAGTCCTACCTTTTGTAGGGTTGAAAAGGGTGTCTGAATCTACCTGGAAATTAAGGTGGGTTTTGTCTGAAACAGACATATCTCAATGACTAAATAAATAAATAAAACATGACATGAAGATTGACAGAGAGAGAAATGTCAGTGTGAGGAGAGGATTGAAACACGACTTAATAAAAATGGCCTAAAACTAAAGGGTTTCCAATTGGACAAATCTTATCTCATCTTTCTGCTTATTGGAAAAGGAAAAGGAAAGGGATCTATGGGATTTTATTTCAGACCTCCCAATCGTTTCATTGTTCTCCCTTTTTAAAACTAGGAATGGCCAAACATCAATAATGCTGTCATGCACGTGACTATTATACTATTCTCTTCTCTTCTATTCATGTTCATATATATATATTTCCTCAAATTCATTTTATATATTAAATTACACATCCATTTAATTTACATCATGACCAAATTCATTTAATAACCGCTCCTTGGTAATATTCCTAACACAGTACCCATATGTTCTTTTTTTTTTTAACTATTATTTCAAGGATATTTGTTATCTTTATCACATGCTTGTAAATGTTTACCCTACCATCAATCTCAAAAGTAATGGAGAATGTTTGAAATTTACTAGTGAAACTAAGGTTTCCATTTGTGTAACCTAAATTACTAGTTTGAATATAAGATAATGAGTAAGCAACTTTTTCCCACCTAAATGACACTTTCCCACCCACAAAGTTTCAAAATATCACTTTCCCACCCAAAGTTTATATTCCGTTAATACCTAAAATATACTTTACTTTGTCAACTGGTGTTCAATGGGTTATCAAGAGCAAAGGTAAGAGGTGTTTTGTAGAGTGGAAGTTAATGAGTCGAATAGTGGTGACTAATTGAATATTCACCATCGAAGTCAGTTGGAAATCAGCTAAGAACATAAAAACCTAGTTTTGCGATGGTGAAAAATTAGGTATCGAAGTGAGAGAGATTTTGTAGAGAGGAGACCAGAGGTTCAAATAGTGGTGACAAAGAGAATTTTTGCCGCATGAATCGGTCAGAATCAACTTTGGATAGTAACGAAATATTAATTTTGGGTGGAAAAGTGGTATTTTGAAACTTTTTGGGTGAAAAGTGTCATTAAGGCAAACCTTTGGGTGGGAAAAGATGTTTACTGTAAGACAATCTATCTCATTCAAATTTTACGCAAAAGAGGGAGGATATTCTTAATAAAATTTAGATAAAGATTAACCAAGGATCTTGCCCCTCTTAGAGAGAGAGTGATTAATCTTTTTTTTTTTATTTATCGAAGAAAGAAAAAGAACAACGTTGTTGATTTATAAACCACTAAATTCTTACATGATAAATTATGAAAATTTGTTTTGTAATAATAAAAATGCATTGTTTATTTAAAAAAAAAAAAAAGAAAACCAGAAATAGAAGTTACCCAATTGGTGAATAAAAGATGATGAGCAAGAGAAACCCACATGTAAGTTGTTAATTAGATATGGAATTTAGTTAATGATTGACAAGTTATTTTCCCAATTGGTGGCTAAAATGAAGATCTGGACAACCCAAAAGATAGCACAGCCGTTGGATGGAAGTGTCAGGTTGGACCCTCCCCCAATTGATTTTTTTGTCAATGTCTAGTAAGTAACATGCGGTGTTTCTTTAATTTGCCAATAAAAATAAAAAATAAATTAATCAATTAATTAAATATTTAACTCTCTTCCTTTCCCAAGATTCATGTAGACTAGAGAGGTAAATACATACATGTTCTCCCCAATTCAGTAAAATTATTTAAACGGAATAATTTATTTTAATATCTTCAAAATCTTAAAGTGAAAAAACAAGTACATGAAATTACACTGAAAATAATGATTGAATTTTTCATCACGCAAAACCTTAAAGTACTCTCGTACTTACTCACAATTCTCCTTCTTCTCTCTCTCATTTTGTCATATCTCTTCTCTTTGCTCCATCAAATATCCCCACACTTTCTTCTTCATCAACACCATAATAAGTCATCCTTTGCCCCCTCCACTCCTCTCCCCATTTCTCCCAATTTATTTTGCTTCTCACTTTCTCGCCTTCCAATCATGTCCATCAACCATTTCTCCACTGACTTACAAGAAACCCCCTGGTGGCCTCCCCAACAACAACAATCCTTAAATATGGAGTCAACTCATCAACATCCCAACTCTTCTTCAAAGCAGCAACAACAACAATTCAATTCTTGGCCTTCACATCAACAATTCTTCCACCATCACCATCCTCACATCCATCATCAAGGTTTCAACTTTAATCTTAACCAGGAGAACTACTGTGGACAAGAACATGAGGGGCAGGATGAGGCAGATGCCGCTGCTGGCACCAGCCAAGAACGGGAAGCCGAGGTTGAGAGAGAAACCATGTTTGAGAAGCCCTTAACTCCGAGCGACGTGGGGAAACTCAACCGTCTGGTGATACCCAAACAACACGCGGAGAAATACTTTCCACTCGGCGGCGGTGGCGACGCAGGGGACAAAGGGTTGTTACTGAGTTTTGAGGATGAGTCCGGGAAGTGCTGGAGTTTTCGATACTCGTATTGGAACAGTAGCCAGAGCTATGTGTTAACGAAAGGGTGGAGCCGATACGTGAAGGAGAAGAGATTAGATGCCGGCGATATAATTCTTTTCGAGCGCCACAGAACCGATGGCCAAAGGTTGTTTATAGGGTGGAGACGACGCGGCGCTACGGTGGCCCCGGATGCTACTAGCGGCAGTCGTAGTGGTGGTGGTGGTAGCGGCGGTGGCGGTGGGTGGAGCACAGGGTTGTATTCAGGCTCACCACATCCTTATCCTCCTGCTCAACCCCATGGAATTACTGTGCCACACCAACCTGACTGTCTTCATGCAGGTTTGTATTTCTTAATTCTCATGATTATTATTCTTTATTCCCATTTTAGCCCTATTCGTAAAAACAAAAAAAATACCTCTAGGGTAAATAAATTTTTTACTCAATTGGATTTTACATGCACGCATTGTGCCATTTTAGGGTCTGTGGTGCAGAACCCAGTTGGAAATTCGAAGACTTTAAGGCTATTTGGGGTGAACATGGAGTGCCAGCTCGATGGGTTCGAGCCATCGACCCTCGATGATTCATCGATGTCGAGCCATAGTCAAGCCCGCGGTTACGGCCAGCAGCAGCAGAAGCAGTTTAATTACTCTCAGGCATATTCTTCAAACCGTCACAATCAGATGGTAGGCAGCTCCATTTTTATTTAATTTTTCAAGGCAAAGTTTAAATGTTAGATAAGCTGTGAGTGATATAGTTGTTTCTTCTAACGAGACAGATTAATTTAATAATATGATTGATAATTAATTAGTGAGGCCAAGAATTAAGGCTGAGCTTAACACATGGCCAAATTGTGTAATTTTTAATTAAATTAAATTTAAATAAGATTAGGTAGCTGATTCAGGAGATAAATTATAGTTTGTCATTAACATTAATCTCTATCTGTTTAAGGGTAAAATTAAAATTATGAATGAAATAAAACATCCACAACTGTCCTTGATCTTAAAATCCACGTTTTTTGTTTTAAGCAAATCCATGTTGTTTAATACTGTCGGGGGTATAAGATTTTAATTAAACTGATGGGCCCTAAATTTATACAACACACCTGGAGACTGAACACAAAAATATTATCCAAATTTTGTTTTGTGTCGATAAGTTTGATTTGAAGTGATTTTTTTTTAGATTAATAAATAATGTTATTATGTGTGTAATTGTAACAGGACATCACTTTCTCTCAAGATGTCAACCGATGATGAGAAATCGCCAAGGATAAGATCTGGAGGATGGGTTCAGGATTTGACTTTAATTGAAACCCCACTTGGAAGGTCAAGAAATTTTTATAAATATTTTATGAGGGAAAAAGAAAAAAAATTATAAAATGTTCAAAAAAACCTGATTATGACGAGGGTAGGGGAGTGGGGGGCCCATGCCCCAGAAGATGATGAGATGAGAAGGAGAGGAATCCATTTGGACTGTTGAGATTCTGTCTGAAGATTTTTCATGAAGAAATTTGATTAAGGTGGTGGTGGTGATTGGTGACGGTGATGTGGGTGGTGGTGGGTGGGTGGAGGTGGACTTTGAATAGATGGGTGACAGCCCAGTTGTCCAAGCCCATTCCTTTTTTTTTTTTTTTTTTCTGTATTTTCAATAGTGAGAGGAAGAAGATGAAAGGTTTTAGAAAAGAGAGAGCAAACTTAATTTTTTAATTCTATCAATTATCATCATCATTTTTCTGTTTTACTGTAATTCTTATTGTTCTAAAAAAAAAAAAAAAAAAAAATGGCTCAATTTTACTCAATATCATCTCTCATTCTTTCATCTTTTTTTCAACAATGGATCTATGTTCAATTTAGCAATTAACTTGAGCAAAATCATCTAAAAATCGTTTTTGTGAATGGTAAAATTAGGGTTTATTTCATTTTCCCCAATGAGATGGCCTAGAATGAAACATATCCTTCACAAAATATCAAAACCCTCTATATATCAAAAACCCTACTAGAAATATCAACACGTCCTCACAAAATTTCGATTAATATTGTCTGAGTAATGGATGTAGTTCATTTTAGCAATCTCGTATGAGGGAAAATAAATAAGCCTCGTAAAATTATGTAACAGACCTCCCTTCCTATGGTTGAAAACTTATCCCCAAGAGTGAATGTTAGATAATGACCTTATAATGAAACTTATAAATCTGCCTTGACATTGGCTTCGTGTAAGGGACACCAGAAGAACCCCTTATCTTTTTATCCCTAATAGAAAGTTTTCATTATCATATCACAAGAATGTGTTAAATTTCTAAGATTTTACAAATCATAAATGATAACGTAAATTATAAAATAAAATGGCAGACATATGTAATATGAAAACATATAATGGTGAAATGTTACAAGTCAAAAGTTAGGTTATCGATACTATATGTATAACCCAAAAACAAATAACAAGAAAGTAATTCAAAATTAAGAGATTCATGAAACCAAAGCATAACAGCAGGCAATGTTCAACTCTTGTTAACTGACACAAGGCTAAAAATGAGTTTTGTTATACCTAAATTATAGTATACAGACTTGAAAAGTCGAACTTTAACAGCATTTGTATTGTATTTGATTAGTGGGGGCGACAAAGCTGAACTTCTAATCAGTGCAAGAGACCAGTTGGGACATGGAAATCCCACAAACATCACCACAACCAGATATATTGACACGGCCCAAAGTCTCAGACCAGAACTAAAATCCGAAATCCTAAAACCATTGGTTCATTCAAAGTTCTGTAGTCTGAAATCTAGCTCAAGTGCCGAACCCACCAAGTGAACTCTTCCGGATTCTATGTCCATGCAGAGTGTTGAAACACACGACCAGTAATTGATACAAATAGAAAATAACAGAATCCAAGACACAATTGGAACCATTTGGGCTTAGAGCCCAAGAAGGGTGTTCACACAGTATTTGATAGAACTTGCATATTGTTTATTTCAAATCAACATCATGCCCTTCTAAATGACAATTTCTATCAGTGGCCAATGCTAGATGTGACCCATCAATGACATATTAATCAATGATGCAGCGCACCACTAACAAAAGTTTAGCAACTTGAACTAAAACAAAACTAGTACTACTTATCATCTGGGTAGGATAGTGGCTACAGGCTTTAGCTTGTTGAACATGTTATCTATCCTCTCAGTGAATCAAAAGACAACAATATAGACAGATGAATAAAGTGACAAGATGTACAGATTTTATACATTACCTCTGCCAAGTGATTATCGTGGCCCATATAGATTCAGACAAGAGACTTGTCCATTGACCTCTGGCTGATGGCTCTAATGTTTAGTGACTCTGCTAGTGGGAGGTCCCCGGATATGTGTTGTTATCATTGGCCTTAAGATAGTGGCAATCAAAGGCATTAGGGGCTCCTCCTGTGTAATTGATTTGTCCTGCGAGAATAATTCAATCATGCATGACTCAGTACAGTACAATATAGAAAACCATGTGATTACTTTATCCCACTTGCCTTTTTGTCTTATCAGCCATCTGCGCTTTTGCAACTGGGGCTTATTGGTCAACCTTACCTTCCCTCCTGCCCCTGTCAAGGAAAAGGAACTCTTTTCCTTTAATCACCTCAGGAGCCCAAAAAAAAAAATGAGTTGATATGTGCCTTGACACCATTAAATAGCCACGAAAAGCAAAAAACGATGTCAATATATCTTATGTAAAACTTAGCTAGAAATAAGAAACCAAAAAAGTAACAAATTCAGGAAGAGATACATCAATATGGTAAACTCCAAATACTACTAAAACTCAACTGATATTAAGAAAAAGGCTTGACATCATTGAGATAGTCACAGAAAAGTGAAAAATGATGTTGAGTAGAACCTATTTTGTAAAAACTAGCTGATAACTTGAGAAATCAAAACTGTTCCAAATTCCGATACAGGTATATCTGTTGGAGTAACACCAAATAACCCTAAAAATCCACCTGATATGGAGAAAGATATGCAGTATCTGCAGGACAACCTAATCTTGAGTCCTGTACAAAAGGCTCCCTGGCAATTTGCAACAAAATGTGCTACTGGTCATGCAAACGAATCTTAATTTCATGTTCCTAAGATTACCTAAAAGCAAGGCCTAGAAAGACTCCAAGAAAGTCCCAGTCATGAGGTAATGCTGGTTTTGGAAACGCCACCAATGCAAAGATATAACCTGACAAAGAAGCCCAAAACAGTCTCCCAGTAATAGACGCTTCCTTGAAATAGTAAGAGCTACTTTGTTAAAAGCGGAAGTGCAATTTGTGCAAGGGAATTAGCAGTCAATAGTAAGAGTCAACTTCTAATTCTGAGGCCTAACTCTATAAAGTTGTTCAAACTATGCAAGATCCTCCTCCCACCATGTACTGTATTGCTTCACCCTTGCATTTGATGACACAATTTTTCGGCCACAAATATTTTACAAAACTAAAGATCATCTCCCCATATATTATTCTATCTTAAATAGGTAGTTTTACAGAAAAGTCCAGGATTACCAGATTCCAAAAAAGCCGTGAAGAACAAAAAGATTTTAAGCTGAGAGAATCAGTGAAAATTCTACCCATTAATGTTGCGGGATTATCCCAGTGGAACCAAAAATGTCTGACTCTATTTCCAATAATAAAAGAAAAAGCTGATAAGAAGTACACAATACAAGCTTAAATTTATTTCCAGCTTTGCCCATATATTGTATCTTTAGTTATAAAACTCTAGCAAAATAAGAAATTTAGAGAATCACCACTTTTTCTTTCACCATTAAAGTTCAACTTTGTCTCCTAAATGCTCCGCTATTCCATGGCATTAGCTGTTTCAGCAAAGAGCAACAAACATTAGAACAAGGAGGGAGAAAGAGAGATTAATGATAATTAGTTCCCACAAAAGTATGCTTACATCACATCTGAAAGGAGTTGAAGAATCCACACATCATCGGCAATCTCATGTATTTTAAAAATTTTATTCTCATTTTCCTCAACATAAAACCTTAAATCATGTTACAAGCAACCTGTGCCATTGAACTACAGTTGGCAGTGCTCTGGTATTGTTGGGATTGATTCTAGATACAACAATTGGGCAATGGAGTCCCATGAAGTAATTTTGGTCCTTGTTATTAAAAAAAAAAAAAAAAAATAATAATAATAATAATAATACAGAACGATGTGATCACTGGCATAAACCAAAATTACTTGTGTGAAACATAAATAAATAGCAAGGAAAATTCCGTCTAAGGAATGGAAAAATAGATTCCAGAAGAATTAGATATAAAATTCAATTATATCTATCCTTCTAGATTTGTTTACAGCAGAGTGACCCTCAAATTGGATGGATTACACTAGTAAATTTAGCAAACCAGCTGCAGGAGAGCTCTTAATTTGTTCTCAATAGTACATTGCGGAGTAATACTCGCATATACTGCCTAGTATAGATTAGTGACTAGTAGAGTTTTTGGGGATATCGCCTTCTCTCTTTTGTTTTAGCATCCTCCTTCTTCTCCATGACTTGCTGGATCCCTTCTTGATACCCTGCTATGAAACTTTGAGAGCATCTTATATGCAGAAGCTCTGTCATGTAGACTCGCTGCAAAGCTGGCCTTATGTCTCCATTCCTCCTCTAGCAGCCACCGCTAATATTTTATACCAGCAATATTGTCCAACCAGGGTCAGAATTTACAGAGTAAACTACAAATTTAAAGAATGCAAACAGCAAAACAGTTTATCCAGCCATAGTCATTATTAACAGGATAAAGACTAGTTCTGTTACATTTCCACTATGATGCGAGTTCATTACACAAGAAATGTAACATTAATCTTGACAATCATAAAACGAATCAGCAGTTGATGACTGGAATGATCTTCAAAACCAACAACAAACAAGTAAACACGGCTTTAATCGCACTTGTGTAAAAATCCTAGCAGGAATTCATTACTGTGTCAACTTGTCACCTTCATTATGGCTCAATGTTTTTCCAAAAACAAATCTACTAATAACTACAGCAATTGAAATATGATTTGACAGTAAAGACCAAGTTGCATTAAAATCACCTAGCAAATAGAAATTCTGTACGACCGAACGACTTACGCATACCCAAGGTCCAACGACAATTATACCCAAAGGTTTTGAAACGACAAACAAGTACTTCCGTCATGTGCTGTTGTATTCTGTTTATGTATAGTGAAAAGACTAAAATGCCCTTAAAAGTTTGATATTTTAGATTTTAATAAATTTAAAAATTTCTAAAAAACCCCTAGTTTGCTAATTTAACTAAACACCCCCATATATAAAAGTTTGTTAAATGACAAAAACACCCCCACCACCTGCAGTGCCTATCTGGCCAACACCGCCGGAAACTGGTCAGAATTGCGTTACCACATAGACCTGTCGGATCTGTGTTCATAACATGTCATCTGGCCTTTTTCGGCCAGATCCGTGGCTGATCTGGCTGGAAAAGGCCAGATCTATGGCTAGATCTGGCTGTCGTGGCCGCAAAACTCCATCTGCGGCGTCGACGCCAGATCTGGCTGTAGATCTGCCTTTTCCGCCTCAAATGACAAAGACACCCCCACCACCCGCAGTGCCAGATTCCGG